TAATCCTTTTCTGAGCATATTCACAAATTAAACTTTGTATTTACTTCTTAGTAAAGAAATTTATGTATTTTTATAAAATACAAATAATGAATTTAGATTTTATGCATCATACCAAATACAATTAAATCACTCTATAATCACCACCCTCAGAAAAGCAAAATTTGGTGACTATAGAGAGGGTGTGACTATAGAGGGATTTTTTTTACTATATTTATATGTAAATAGGAAAGCAAACTAGGGTGAATATAGAGAGATGTGACTATAAATGGGTGTGACTATAGAGGGGTTTGACTGTATGATAGCATTTTAGAGAAATCAGAAACAATTTTTGAAAAACTTAAACAAGTATATTATAGTAGACTTATAAATAAGTAAAAAATTAAAGTGTAAATAAGATGCTTAAGTTCACTTTATGATTCCAACTCACAGTGAGTCCATCAAGCAAGTTCTATCATGTATAACATAAAGCTCTGTTCGGGTCAGGTCAGATCAGGTTTGAGATCAACCTGAACTGATAATTTCGGGTCGTATTCAGATCGAATTTGATCCAAAAATCATAAAATAGTTTTTAGTTAATAACTTTTATTTTTACTAGACACTTGTATTTGGTGTCTAAGTAGAGTTGTTTCACAAATTTTCGTTCAATTCCAATTAATATTGAACGAGAAATAACGATTTTAGGCTGACCTGAAATATTTCAGGTCGAATTTGATCCCAATCCGACCTGATCCGAAATGTGCGTTCCGGGTCAGATCACGGATTGGACCCGACCTGGTTGGAGCACTAGTTGAGCAATCATTAATAGATAATTGATCTTTTTCACTCCAAAATTGATAGCAAAGTATTAAATTCTTTATTTGTCCTCATGTTGATACAGGTGCATTTTTTGCTTGACAAATTTGCTTATTATATTTCTGAAATATCTTGATGCCATGTAGAGTAGATGTTGCTAACCAATCTTGAGGTGGTTTTCCCATTAAAAATTCATAAATTAATCGCATACATTCAACAGCAGAGCATAATGATGTTTGTCTCACTTGTAAAATGCTTGTAGCAAGCCAGATTGTATTCGAAGAATAAGATTTCTTCATTAGTAATTTGCTTTGAATGTCGAACCTTGATTTTTGATTCAGAGAGTGTTGAAATTTTGCCCCAAGTGATTGGGTTCGTTTAACAAGTGTTTGATTTTTCTGATGAAGTCTTTTATTTTCTTGTTTTAATTTTGAATTTTAATCTTGTAAAGTGTGGATTGATGTTTTTCATTATTGGTGGAGGTCGTTTCAGGATTCTTTTGATATTTTTCAAGACGTACTTTATTTGCATTTTTTAATTGAAATCGGCGTCTATATGATGTGTAATCTTTACGACTAAATATTTGAAGTTAAATTTAAACATATTAATATTAAGTCCAAAACGAACAAGTTTACGAAGTCAAACTTTACATATTAACTAAAAAAAAACATTTACTATTAACTTGAATATTCAACGAAGTCAACGAAATATAAGATGCAGGTAAAAATAATTGATTTCTTCATAAAGATAATAATTAACGTAACTTTGTAATTATAACGCGCGTGAAAATCCAATGATATTTAAACAATCTAAAAAGGAAATGTTGTTTAGTCCCCACATCTAAAAATCGGGTCCTCGTGTATGAAGTATTGATTGTCATATATACATGTACCATACATAGTTTTGATTTACATAGTACCGGTACATGTACATGTATATTGAGCACCCCAATGTTTATTCATTAATTACATGTATTTATATTATCGTTATAAAAATTATTCGCAAAAAAATTGAATTGGGAAAGTCATACACCAAAATTGCAGTTACATGTATCTAGGTTATATGCGAGATTGCAAACAACACACTTGGTGAAGGTGTCTCTTGTATACGACAATAACTCGACACCGGCAGTACTAAATCATTGGTGGTGTTATACGTAAACCGTCATCAGCTGCTTAATCGATCTGCACTACATATCGATATATGTAACGATTTCTGGAAGTAAAAATCCGAACTGCATTGAATACGAGACATTATTTTTTTTACTGCGAAAAATAATTTAAAATGAATAAATTTATTGCAAAATCCAACAACAAAAAAAGCGATACAATTGTCGAAGAAATAATTATCTTATTTGATAAATTGATTCATTCTTCTCAAGATTTAAACGAAGCTGCAAATGAAATGCAAATAATTATTGAAGAATTAGCAGAAAGTGCACTTGAATGGAAAAGCTTCTTGCAAATCTTAGAATCGAAAATTTCATATAAAGTCATATACGGTTTTTTGCATCATTTTGGGATAAAAGTTGAACACAATTTTGAAATTGCTTTTAAATTTTATAAAAAATCAGCAAAGAGAAATAATGCGATTGCCCAATATTTACTCGGATTTTGCTACTACAATGGAATTGGTACACTTAGCAATAAAAGTAAAGCCTTTGAGTGGTTTTTAAAATCTGCAGAGGGTGATGATGCTAAAGGACAATGCTCTATTGGTCTCTGTTATCAAAATGGTATTGGGACGCAAAAAGATGACCAAAAAGCTTTTGAGTGGTATTTGAAATCAGCAGAAGGAGGAGACGTTGAAGGACAATTTAAACTTGGTATTTGTTATCAAAATGGTATTTGGACGCAAAAAGATGACAAAAAAGCTTTTGAGTGGTATTTGAAATCAGCAGAAGGAGGAGTCGTTGGAGGACAATATAAACTTGGTATTTGTTATAAAAATGGTATTGGGACGCAAAAAGATCACAAAAAAGCTTTTGAGTGGTATTTGAAATCAGCAGAAGGAGGCTTTGTTGAAGGACAATATATTCTTGGTGAGTTTTATCGAATTGGTATTGGAACGCAAAGAGATGACAAAAAAGCTTTTGAGTGGTATTTGAAATCAGCAGAAGGAGGCTTTGTTGAAGGACAATATAAACTTGGTATTTGTTATCAAATTGGTATTGGGACGCAAAAAGATGACAAAAAAGCTTTTGCGTGGTATTTGAAATCTGCAGAAGGAGGAGACGTTGAAGGACAATATATTATTGGTGAATTTTATCGAATGGGTATTGGAACGCAAAAAGATGACAAAAAAGCTTTTGAGTGGTATTTGAAATCAGCAGAAGGAGGAGTCGTTGGAGGACAATATAAACTTGGTTTCTGTTATCAAAATGGTATTGGGACGCAAAAAGATCACAAAAAAGCTTTCGAGTATTATTTAAGATCTGCTGAATCTAGGGATGCGTCCGCTCAATTCAAATTGGCTGAATGTTATCAATACGGCTTTGGAGTTTCAAAAGATCTTTTTATGGCGCTAAAATGGTACAAAAAAGCTAGACAATCCGGTTATCATCTAGCGAGAGTGCGTGCTAGAAGAAATATATTATTAGTTGGAATCTGGTTTTAGCACATTTAACTTTTTGTTTTTTATAAATATGAGATATTAGATAATATTTTCTAATTTACTTATACACTTCTTCATATGTTTTACTCTATGAATAGTTTTTATGAGTTTATTGTAATGCATTGAAATAATACAGAATTGTTAAGTAAAGGTGCAAAAATTTGGATGATTCATAAAAAAATTATTTTTGAAATACTAATAGAATTCAATTTTGGAATTGTTCAAAATTAAAATAATTTGGAAAATCAAACTTGTGAGTTTACGTACAATATAATTTTCAGAATTATAATTGGGTCTAATTGTGGAGCATAATATGTATGATAATATTCTTTATTAAATATGTTATAACTTATTTACAGTCCCGGTGAAACTAATTGCAGTTTTTTTAAAAAAAAGAATGATTTTAACGAATAATTATTGAAAAAATTTACTTATGAAATGTCTATAAGTAAGGCATTATCGCTGATACTGGTACTCTTTTTCTGGTTGTAGGGATGATGTATGGTATAGTGATCCGAATCGGTCAATTATAATCGATTATCCGATTATTATCGGATTATTCCGAATTATACAGTCAAAATGATATGATCGGAAAATTCATTATTAAAACTACGCGTGAATCGACTTTAACCCACTTGCTATACAATTGAGTAATCCTACTTTTGTCTTAAAATTTAATGACTTATTGTATTAAAGAGAACGCAAAAAAACGTGACAAATGTCAAACAATAAATTGTGCTGCAAAAATAGAACATAATTATCTGATTAGATTATCCGATTACCATTATAATCGGTGCTAATCGAATATATTATTAACTAATCGGTCAATATTTCTGTCAATCGAATAATCGTAATCAATCGAATTAGATCAAACGATTCGTATCACTATGGTGCATAACATCTAAAGTCATCAAACTTTTGTGTTTTATAAAATGTATAAACAACTTTACTAAGAAGTAAATACAAAATTTAATCCGTGAATATTCTCAGAAAGAGTCTATTATATCATATTCACGGATTAAATTTTGCACTTACTTCTTTGTAAAGAAGTTTATACATTTGTAAAATACAAACGTTTGATGACTTTAGATGTTATGCACCATAGCGTTAGTATGGTAACTTCTTTCTCATTTCGGAAGATGCGATTATTTGATGAAGGAAATTAAGAGAACTTCCGCATTTATTTAAAATAATTATATATGAAAGTCAATTTTTCGCATGGTGTGACTTAGTGGGGAATTACTATGTACTAATCTTCAGCGAGGGAACAACTTCGTTCTGTATGTGAAAATCGAATTATCAGCTACGGAGAACGTTCAAGTATAAAAAGCACTGGTAAGACGATCCCTGAACAATATTTAAACTAAATTACTAATTTTGCAAATGATCATCATGATTTCATAATTTTTATCCTAATTTAGAAAAGATATTTTCAGAATCCTCTTTTAATATCGTTCGGCGAGATCCTGGTAAAACTGAGTGAGAAATGCATAAAAAATTAGTATCTGTCATCGCATATTTCGGATCCTACCATACCTGGAATCCGCGCAAATACCAAAACGATACTTTAAAATTCCTTGCTGCAACCGTTCGGTTTATCTCTTTTCATTTGCATTGTGGTGACCGTGACCTTGTTGCTCGCCGATAAAGGCAACCTATCATTTATCAAGCTATCATTGACATGCACTAAGTTTTTAATCACATTTTGTCTAATGGTTAATTGAATATTTGCGCATACGAAAAAACTGAGAATCACTTTGATGACAAGTGATGTGGCTGTAACCCGGGGGAGTGGTAACCATGTAATTTTGGAAAAACTGGCGCGAGCAATGTTGATTGCATGTTCGGTACTTGTCAGGATGGTGTTTGTACAGTAATACATGGATAATTAACAAATATCAAAAATAATTATTCTTTTTATTATACCAAAAATTTATTCTTTTATTTTTCTTTTTATTTGTCAAATTATAAATATTCATTGTGGATGTGACAGCTTCCAGAATCTGAAAATAGTTCAGTAGCAAGTATATTTTAATAGATTTCTTTAGTACTTGTTATTAAATTATTTTTCAGCTAAGAATAATAGTTGACATATGAATTAGAATTTTAATTAAGTTGACTGATAGATTTCTATTTACGGTCATTTAAGCTATACAGTGTAGCTAAAAAATTTAAATACTTTATAATGCTATGGGTTCTCTACTAAAGACACAATTCCAATAGCCGGCTGTGATATATCGTATGCAACATTTTTCAAAAATAACTCGTCAAGTACCCAGAAGATGGTTGAATTGCAGAAATACCATAGCTGATGCCTCCAAAAATAAGAGAAACAATGGTAGTAGAATCACAAAAAATAGTACTAAGACCGCATTTGGATTGAGTTGTGTACCTGAAATTTTACTATTAGCGTCACTAGGAGCATAAATCAGCGTGGTGAGTGTGTCAAATATGGCAGGTTGTTGTGTTATTCCAAGATATTTTCATTAACTTTAAATTAATTTCCAAAACCTTGAGCGTCAATAACTTGATTATAATTACGATCGTCAGTAAATGATGAATTATCAACACCGCCTAAAGTCAATTAACTCTTCGATCCAAAAAGTAACAAAACATAGGATCTTGAACCGTTTCTTGTGTGATCATGTTAGAGAAAGACGCTGGCACTTCAAAAAGGCTTAATGATTCTAACCCCATTCATACGAGTCCACAGAATGGATCCTCATTTAACTCATCAGAAGTCTCTAATGCCATTATAAAAGTTTGTTGTTTTACTTGCGCACCACCAATGTCAATATTCTCAATTCCAGTTAAGCCTCTTTCATATACTAACATAATTTATTTTACAAAAAATAAATGAGTCAACTAAAAAAAATTGACTAAATCAAGGTTTAAATTTTCTAATGAGAACTCGTCATATTGAATTTCATTATTAGTTCACTCACTGCATAAAATTGTTATAATATTTATATTTGATAAGTCAATTTATTCTTTAACTCATTGTTGCTCTGGTACGAAGATAATGAATAACTGAAAATGTGTTTCAGGAATAATATTAGTGAAGTGAAAAAAGAAGTGCTAAAGTCTATTTTAAAGTTTAAAACATATAGCGTCGATTATTTTCGAAGAACTTGATGCTCTTAAAGTATATGCGATAATACATGTACAATCAAATACAAAAAAAAATATGAAATTAATAATGCTGTATATAAATACGTACACGAAAAAAATAACGTAAAAGCTTTGTCAAATAATTTTTGATAATCGAGGAATTGTGATATGAATGGCAAAAATTGCAAGATAAAATATTTAAGTTTAGCAAGAATATACATGTAATAATAAATCAATGCAATATTTGACAATCTTAAAACGCGTGCATTAATAAGGTTAATACGTATAATTACATTTGCGTATTGGATGGTTAAAGGTTGGCGTAAAAATTATGCTTTAATTGCCGCTCGCTTCAGAAGTAATATAACACTATTTGATTAAAAATGTTAATAGAGTTAATACAATAATATTTATAAATAAATCGAGTATCTAAAGAAACAATTTACAAAATTGAAAACTTACGTCCTTATTTCTTTAATATAACCAAAAAAATATTTAAATTTTATGGTTAGTAAAAATATTCAACTGCCACATTTTAATCTGATAAATAAAGACCTTTGTTGTCTTAAGATTGGGGCTTCAGTTATTAGTAATCTTATTCTCAATTCCGAATAGAATTTTTTCCATCGATCGTTTTATTCGTTGGATAATTTGATGCTTCTAAAATAATTATTATATACGTAATTGAATTTAAAGCAATATATCAAATTAAAGAACACGATATGTCTGTAATAAAACTTATGAAATGTTGTTTCGATAACGTAATCATTTTTATGGTCAAATGAAATGTTATTAGAAAATTGTGAGTATTATAAAAAACGTAATTTCTCTTATTGATGTTCATATCTGATATGGAGAAAGAACATGTGAATTGCCTAATAAAATGATAATCAACTTCGTTATCATAATCTATTAAATTCGAATTTAATAGATAGTTATTTATATAGAGCATTCAAATTTATGATCAAGCAAGACAAAAGTCAAATTCAAATCTATCGAATAATTAGCAGTGAAGAACATAAAGTCAATAACAAAAGAGAAGTTAAGATTGTCATCCATTGTGTAAGCGTGCATCGCAGATTCATTTGAGTCTTGATCAAGTGGTGTTGCAGTTGCATTAGGTAAGTAAGCCGAATAACTCGAGTCTGTATCGTTTTCTAGAGTTTTTATAATTACACATTTATGATAACATGAATAGTAAGTAACCTTTAGATAAATAATACGTAATAGAATAGAACACCCACCATATATGATAAGGAGGTTTAATTTTCAACTGATAGCCGGGACAACGACTTGCAATGGTTTATCGTTATTAGTCTATAGGACAATAAACATAAATAGCTTAACAATCATAAATAAAGCTACCATAAAAATATCACTTTGGTAACTTTTATTATGCCTTGCGTCATGAAACTTTTTCATGAATATATTTCTTTGAGTTTTACGCAGATACAGCTATACATTACATGTATTAGGTAGTGAGTTGCTAAAAAGAAGTGATAACACGCGCGCGCTATTGAAGACTATTGCTTTATCAATAACTTTAAGTCCCGTTATGCTCGTTTCACAAAACACACACTATTGGCAGTATTGTCACAAAGTGTTGTGAGTCAGCTGATCTGTCCGAGAAACAAACCAATAAGAACACGTAAATTTTTGATCAACCCGGAAAAACAAATCCGAAGCGCGAATGCAAAGTATTTGGTTCTTTGCTTGTAAAAAGATGCGAGTTGGCAAAGTTTTGTATTCTTTAGTAATTTGTCGGTTTTCTGTAATAGGATCCCAACATTTTTCAAGAAATTTGTATCTTTGGTCGTACTCCTTTATGGATCTCTAATATAAGACATCATCATATCATCGCTCACCAAACGGTTATTCGCTTTGTTACAATCTCAACCTAATCATTTGTAGTTTAGTGTATCGCTTTTCCTATAACATCTTACCCAAAAAACGTTTTTTTTTTTTAATGTAATTTATTTCTTTGGTTCAATTCCTAATATATATATGTATTTTTGGCAAATTACAAAATGAGACATGCTGTTTTTCAAAGATTGACATTAACTTCTAATTAGAAATTTATTGGATAAACACTAAGTAAATTTTAATCTGTAGAATCATAACGATAATAAAAGAAGTGGTGATAGTTTAAACTCTGTTCCCGGAGTACTAACTCTTTTTTTGTTGATACTCATTTACGAAGAAATATTTTTTGAAAATAAAAAAATTTTCGTTTTCAACAACTATAATGTGTTTGATTCTGATAATTTTTGTTTGTTACTTTGGCTCTAAAGGCTTTCGAAAATTTTTATTCACAAGTATCAAAAAGACACGGACATAAAGCGAGTCTTGTAGACCACAAAACATATCTAGTTGATAGAAAAATGCAGAGGCCTTTCTTTATGATATGCTTGTATCGGATCCATGAGAAAATATTTTGTGTATATCATTCCCGATGCTATGAACCTGTTGCATTTGGAACTTCTGTTGTTGATGGCACTTTGATTTTTTTTTGGTGGCGTCTCAAAAGTAAAATTATATTAATAAAAATGAAAATTAAATACGTATTAGAAACTTTATTCCATCATCCCTAGAAAGCAGCTAAGCTCGGATATTGTCAATACGATGTAAAGGAAACTCTGTTTTCACTCCTCAAATTTGAAAATTCACCGAATGCACGACGTGACTTAAATTTAGTCATTGATGGCGGGTCTAACGGAACCTCAGATGATTATAACTTGACGCTAATCACCGATCAAAATGTACGTACATCTATATTGTAAAGCGTTAGGTTATTTTTAAAGTCAACAATAGCGATAGGATTTTGATATTTCAATCATCAACACTTCTAATGAAAAATAACAACGCTGTTGCACTCAAAATTTTGACAAGTCATTACTATCGCTATCGAGTATTCATTTTTTAGTTATTCCATATCGTTAATGCCACTTTAGGGCAAGCTGAGTCTAATTTTGAAAATGTTAATGATATTGAAAACTAATATACTTACACTTTAAAAGGTGTTCATTTTAGCTCTCTCTCTCTCTCTCTCTCTCTCTCTCTCTCTCTCTCTCTTCGGTTGTAAACTCTGATGTAATTTGCTTTGAATTGTGTAGGAATTCCAATACACCTTCGCGTTTTCCACGTTGTTAAAATTCCTTGTCTGCATGATCCCATTCGTTATCCATTGTTCTATCCAACCAGGCCAGGTTGCTTTATAGATTGATCCAAAACCTCCTTTTGCAAGATATTCATTCAAAAGGAATCCATTCAAAAACATTATCATCATTAATCTTATTGCATTCGTTTTATCCGCTAGACCATTCATAAATTCGTTGTGACAATAGAAACAATTCAAGCATTTCTCATTTTTGACAACCGGTATATTTACTACAATCATGAATATTGAACTGAACACTCATGACAGTAATTCCTTCGTTGACAACGAAAGCATCATGAGTATTCGAAAATTTAGATGCCATCGTTGAGTTTATTTTATTAGTGATTATAGCAGTGGTTTATTTAAAAATGATGATTTCTATGTGTGAAAGTTATGAAACGAAAACGCGATTAGCACAACTATGTCTCAATGCTTCTTAAAGCATTGTTAGTGTATATAAAGCGTCAAACTGACATTAAATTTCAGATTAATGTTTTGCTTGTGCGATACGGTTAAACAGTTTCTGATTGATTTTGATATACATGTATTACATAATTTGGCATATTTATAATATCGCCTGACCGCATATTAAAGTTTGTTAGATTTCGCATTTTATGCTGCGGATCGTAAAAGGAGCTAACAGTAAAACTCACTCCGCTTATATACCATATGAGATGCTGTGCCCACACCTATTCACCAAAAAATCGAGATCCTGCTGGAAGGAAAAATGTGATGTTGCATAGCATAGCAATTATGAAGTAATGATCCGTGTTTATTCATTCGAATCTACAAATCATGTACATTTAATAACGATAACGATAGCACAAATTAATAAAGCGGAAATTACATGTACATGTATTACGTGATTCAAAGCAAATTATGTTGGAGTTTATAAACGAGGTAAAAATAAACCATTTCTAAAGTGTAATCAAGATGTTTTTTTGTTTCCTAATACAATTTATTTTTTAAAAAAAATGGATGCTTTTTTTATTATAATGAATACGTGATTAAAAAATGAATAATGGATTATGTGATCTAGAAATTAATGCATGATTTGCACAAATTGACGATTTTTGGACTTACCGATATATGGAACACTTCCTTATACATGTATGAGTCCAGAGGTACTAAACGAAAAGCCATACACTAAAGCTGCAGATACTTATATCTTTGGGATGAAATTGTAACAGGTGAACTAGCGGAATCATGATACAGGTCTTGTATAATGGAATACGACCTACAATACCAAATAATGTTCCCAGATGGTGCAGATTCATCATTGAAAAATATTTGGAACCCATTCTAAAAAACAGACCAACTTTTTACGAACTTGGAGCCTTTATCTTCCCTATCTATTCAGTGTAACAGTTCTTTAGAAAATCCTCCAACACACGGAGAAATTATTGGGTGTCTTAGTTTAGAAGGACAGAAATTAAAAGAACTTGATGCGATGAAATGGCAAAAAAAATTTATAGGAATACAAATAAAAACAACAAATCCGCTCAAATGCAGTTTACACCTTTCGAATCTTTATTACAAAGCTAATTTCGATTCCAACTGAGACAGGCACTGTTCTTGCAAATCATATCGATATCGATATTGACAATTTTCTTAATCCTAGCGCATTGTTACATGTGATTGACTATATATTTTTTCGCTCTATGTACCGGTACGTACTATTAATAATATTATTATTGCCCAATAAAACTGTTCGGGTTATTAATTTATTCTATTATATTTTCTGGTCCGTAGTTCGCTTGAAACTGAATACATGTATATAACGATAATTGCCATTTCTGTAGTTCCAATTATTGAAACAATTTGTAGATCATCAAATTGGGCGAAACTAGTTTCACCCGAAACACTAATGGGATTTGGCTGCTTGTTTTTTGATTTTTCTAAATTGATTATATTTTTGATAGTTTGGCAATTTATGGGAGCTTGGAGTTTGGTGAGTGAAATTCTCGAATTCTTTGTTGCAATTGGTGCAATCTATGTATTAACAGGGGTTAAACGAAGGTTTTCTGTAAAACATACATGTAATTTAAATTTATTGATACTTAATTGCTCATTAGAGCAGCAAAATCCAACGCTTAAATAACTATATAATAATATCATGTGCTATTACAACAAATGGCTTATTATTGGGAATTACCGGCATAGTAGCAATTGTCATTCTAAAGCAACAGCTTCTCGATTATTATACATCATTTTCATGCAATTTGGATTATAAATTTCTATGGATTTCGGTAAGCAAATATAAAATATTATTTTCGTTAGAATGTTTAATAGCATTTAATTTTTTAGCTTTTTAAAAGATATATTTTGCACTAGTGGTTCTCGCGCACAGAAATAGAAATGTCCGTCTTTTTAAGAACGACTCAGAATGAAGAGCAATCGTTAAATGAAGTGGTCACATAATGCAGAGCAAACGGCAAATCGTAACCGGTTAAAAAGAGATTAAATGTGTTCAGTGTATTTGGACAAGCTCGGCTAGCGGAAAAATTAGCAAACTTTAAACGCTAATTTTGTAACTTTATGTCCAGATTTCTGGTTAGTTTTTATTATTAACTTTCGGAGTTACAGTACTGTATTCGCATATTCAAATTCTTCGATCTTTTTAATAGAATCATCTTGTCAGTTATTTTTTAAGCAATCATTTTATAATAATATCTAAAAGACCACTTACAAATTTAAAGCATCGAGAAATTGCTGGTCTACGGAAAGGCAATAAAACAATAAGAGATATCAGTGAAATATTAGACTTACAGCGAGTAATGTAAAGATCAAGGTTTAAACTATCACAGCAGGATTTTTTGTTTTTTGTTCGTATTTTTTTTTTGTGATTTCATCTCATCAAATTTATCCAATCTTTGCTTCTCTAATTAAAAGACTTTAATTTCTTCATGCATTTTTGGATATCCTAAAGGTTTGCAGTACTGAAAATGCAAAGTATTCAGTTGTACCCTCTGAATGAAACTGTTAATATTGAGGATAGTGTTGATAAAGTCGTAAAATTCATCAGCAGTGAGTCTGTTTTCCGAATAGGATCCAACCTTTTCGATAATAAATTTGCACCATCTGAAAGTGTATATCATGATTACTTTCACCAAATGGTCGTTCACCTGTGATAACCTCGTACACAATACAATCATCCCAAAACAATAAATATTTGCAGCTTCAGTACCTCTAGACAAATATACGCAAGTACTCCAGAAATTTCTCGATCAGATTCTTCTATATCTGTAGACAACATAAGCACCATTTATTAGTAGTATATTTCCAATGTGAAAGTGACGATTTTACGCAAACTATTAACTAATGAACCCAATTCAATTATTGTAGTTTGAATTACATAATATACTTGCATAATTCATTTATCGTTATCGAATATTCATTTGTAGCAGGGAACTTAGTTATTCCATAATTGAAACATTTTAGAGCAGAATCTATCTTTGAAATATTTCTAAAAATGCTTTTTTGTTTATAATCCAAACAACTTTTTCGTTTATAAACTCCGACGCAATTTACTCGAATCATTCGATTCACGATCTCACTCGTATTTGTGAAAAATGCTTTATAAATTGTTTCACCTCCCTTTACGAGTATTTAACAATGGTAAATTTTTCAAATGAAAATTAATCCTTAGACTGTTGATCTCTTTACGTTTGCTAGACCATTCAGCTTTATAATTTCTCTGCAGTAAATTTTTTCTTTGAATATTATAGTAATTGTATCGATATTGGATGCATTTACTACATTAGTGTTAGAAGTAAATGATATAACGATAAATTTATTCGCGTGCAAGTCGATCTCTACTTATCGTTCGATAAAATTTTGCTCATGATCTGGTGATCTCGTCAGAATGATAGATTTTTTAGCCAATCAATTCTTTCCAAACCCACAATTTTTAACAAGTGAAATCCAAGTATTCCTATTTTCGATATAAATATCAAATTCGCAATATGAAAACCATAGACGGAACGCATCCTACTGCTGGTTCATGGGCTCTGCGCAACCCACCTTCACGCTATGCAAGAGCCTGGAGGAGATGGCGTTGAGGGATCTTCGTGAGACTTTTGTGTGTTTTTTTTTTTGCAATAACAATAAGGATCAACAGTAACATTTTATATCGACCTGTTTTCTTTGAAGGGTAACAAAAAATTCTTTGAAGATCATAACGAAAATGAATGCTTTCTTTGAAGATCATAATAAAATTTTTCTTTGAAGATTATAACAAAAAGGAATGTTAGATAATTGTAATTTGCAAGAAAAATCAAGGTTGATGTCTATTCAGCTAAGAACAATAATGTTATTTTCAAAATCTTATGCAATGATAATCTTTGCAAATTTGAAAGTTAGGTGATATTTATTTAATTCATTCATTTCATATTATATTGATCACAATTTGATTTATCAGACGCCCATTCGTTATGTCAACAAATCCAATGAGTTTAGTGAAGCTACTACACCTAAGAGACACTACAACTATAAAATTGGCGGATTATTTCACGTCATCTAATGGACGACGCAAACATAACAAGTCTATTAAATTGTCATGAATTGATTTCCTCGATATCAAATATTGGTTCGAGAGAAGAAATCAATGGTATAGTATTGGGCGTTTACATACTGGACTCGGTTATATATGGCCACGTTGGTTTTTATATGAATGTTTGCAGATATAATTAGTATACAGTATAGAAATTCATAAATTTATGCATTGGCTTTTGAGTTTACTATCCTGGAATCAAATTCGGTTAATTTATGCTGGTTTAATTAGTGTTTCGGTTTAATGAGTTTGACTGTGTAGAATACATCTCCAGAATTAACACTCTCAAGCTTCAAAAATAAAAAACAAGTAGTGAAGAGATATTACCTTAACCTGAAGCCTAAGCCAAAAAAGTATTTACAAAGTAGTCAATACAGATCAACAATCAAGAAAATGGAGAAAATGAAATAAATGGATCCAAGCACAATTTATTATGCAAAGAGAATTATTTAAATTATATTGTCAAGCGGCCATCGATATGACATTGATTGTATAACAACCGATGAGAAATTGATTTAGAAAGGAGTAAAAAGGGTTTTGCATCAAAATGTTTGCAGAAAATGGGACGATTTATAAAAAGCAAAGATACTTTATGCACGATTAAGCGAATAGAAAACGAAGCTGAAATTAACAATAATGAGAAAGATTTAATCAATTACATTCAATATTGTCTGCTGAAACCATAACTTATTACTATATCGAAAAACACGTGAAAAAAGAATATTACGCGCGTAAAAAATGTATTTATTTTTATTTTTAATTTCAAATTGTAAAACTTTGCTAGAGATCAACAACCAAGATGAATTAATATTAGACGACACAAATGCACTTTGGTATTCAATCAAAATTTTCCCCAGCTTACAAACTACAGTTACACGCGTAACACCGTTCGGCGATCCTCTTAATTCGGAAGGATCGGTTTGGGCCGTGTTATAGGTCCAATATGTTCTTTTATGTCCTTTCAATTAAGCGCCCTATACATTAACAAAAATTTAATCACCCGATTAGGCAATGTGTGAATATATGTCAGGTAGACGTGGAGCATGTAGAAATCGAATGGGTGCACAATACTTTGATGAGTTTCGTACGCATTTCTGGGAGAGGCCTGAAGATGAATTCAATAGAATCCGTACTATTAATACCTTAAATCATAGGTGAAAAAGAGATGTGAGGAATACAACATCAGCACCATCTATTGAGGAAGTTTCATCAATGCTAAATATGAATCGCCGTGAATCTCCCGCTGGTCAAAGGGATCGATCCGCATCTCCAATCCGAAGAGTTTCCAGCAAAAGAGACAAAACTACTAATCGAGATAATGCAAGTAATGTAATGATGTGGGTAGAAATTTAAATAATGCTACATACTCATCTTCATCTGAGTTGGTAAATATTACCTCAGCCCTTAATATATCTGCATCACGAAATGACAGTGATTTTAGTATGTCCGATGTTGGAGGTAGTCAGCCACCTCATATGGAATCTATAAATGAGGAAAGTTAGACCCTGCTATCCGAATTTCGTCTGAAAAAGTAATAAAAATCACGAAAAATCGATTGCGTAACACAGATGTTCGATCATTAGAACTTTTCATGCATGATGTAATCGTTCGACCTGCTGATTATCATGTCATTTTCTTTGTGAAAATTTTTTGTCATGTCTTCGAAAAACCAGAAACAGAAACAAAAAAACGAGAGTTCTCCAAAAAAGACCACACAAAAAACTTCAAAGAAACGAACCCTCGAAACCGAAAATGCGAGCTCTTCTGCCACCCGTCAGCAACGCAAACGCCTTGCCAGAGGAGACTCAGCTATCGCGGAGGCTACCAGTAACCTTAGGCTCAGTTCCGGCTCTAATGCTAGTTATGACTTAAACGACCTCCCTTCTTCGGCATCTAAATTCAAAAAACGAGATATCGAGAAACTGAAAGTGAGCTTCAAACCATCTTCAAGCGAGAACGCTGTTATACCCGGTGTTGAAGGTGAGACATATGTTGTATCAGCAATCCTCTCAGCGAACCTAATACTTGCAATTTATTTTCCAGTCGCCAAAATTCCAGAGATTTATGTTTTTCCTGGTATCAATAGACATATACTTGGAAATCCAGATTTCGATGTTGAAAATATTGAAGGACTCACGGATAAGCGTGTTCGAACGTTCTTTGTGAAATTGCATAACGTTGTGATGAATGGTCTTCAAGTTATAGGCACCAACGAAACTTTTACTGATACACTTGTGGATAATCTGCTTCGTGTCGCTGAGTTGGATGACTGGCCCTTAATGATCAGGTGAGTAACTTCTGTTTATAATAAATATAATGGTTTCTAAAGTTGCATTTTCAAAATCCAGAAATCATCCGCTATGCAAGCTATACATTGAAGATGATCCATACGTGTCATCAGACCCCGAATTTGTAGTGGGGAAGCGAAAAATTGCTGTTCTTATGGTAGAGGTCTGTATATTGTTAACCGTTTGACAGGCTATTATTTTCATCGGCTCAAACAATTTTTTTAACAGGACAAACACCTGAAAAATTTCGGATCAGGCACTGGATTTGGAGAAACACAGATTGCTGTAGAAATTCTTGCTTGTGGTAGTGAGAATATACGTTCCCTTGGCTCGGAGGAACATACAGATCAGATATTATGGGCCATTCGCGTCATCTCTTCATATGTTGCGTTTTATAAAGCTGTGATTCCTGCAACGTATTGGATGGAACTTGAAAACGGCCTACCTAAAGAACAGAAAATTGAAATTGAAAGATGGCCAGCTGAGAATGGTTTGACGACTGGTTTCGATCTCGCTGAACCAGGAGGAAGGCGTTCAGTTTTGACAGCATTAACCAAAATTCGTGAATCGCTTTTACAAGACGAGGAAGACGAAGGGAGGGGGAACAGCTGTCGTAATAATGTGGTGGGTTATTTAGTCATGCTGGAGAGCAGTTTATACCGTGTCCAATTTAATATAATAAAGAATTGCTAACCAAAGATAGGTTGATCTTGATTAATAATTCTCGTAATTTATTGCTCTTTTTATAAGAAAAGCAGATAATATTAATTGACTGGATTTCCATGCCTACATAATTCCAAATTTGATTCTTAGACCGTCAGCGTTGTTACAAAATATGTTGAGTTTCACTGGTTGGTTCCTTTATCCGCTTTATGCAAGTGAAAAAAAATAGAACGAAAAATTCTTACATTACATTAAATTTTAGATAACCAAAATTTGAAGTACATGAACATGCATCATTAAACATAACGGGTTTCAAGTTGATCCGGAACAAATCATGCACCTTGCCAATATGGGTTAGCGTAGATTTTGTTTTTCCTGATCGATCACTGGTTCGTGTTACACACCTGGATATATCGTACTGGGGTACTTCACGCACTAATTAATCAAAACTATGCAAGGTGCTATAATAATGCGATTACTATAAGATTTTATGCATAAAATTGATCGACAAATTGCTGCGTCGCTACTAGTAATTTATTAGTAAAGATTAATGTTCAACAAACTGACGCAAGTAGTGTGTACTAACGATTTTTCCAGTAATCTTCATGGCAAACAATTAATGTAGTGTAGTCAAAACAAGTTACGGTTTAAAATTTTTAATTAATTAACAATTTAAAGATACTAAATTAGCGAGAATTTCTTCTTTTGTTATAGGTTCTAGCTAAAAAAAAAAATGAGCGTTTGTCACGAATTGGATGGAATTGGCTTTCATAACTAAAAATATAAAACCGTAACTTTGACAAAAGGCCTTTTGTTATATTATATGTCGAATTTTATTGTAAACTTCGAGATAGTTTTAGTGCTACGCCTTTTTAAATCTCGCTTTTGTTATCATTAATTATATAAACTAAAAAATAAGCATTACGTCTTTTTAAATCTCGCTTTTGTTATCATTAATTATATAAACTAAAAAATAAGTGTTTGTTTCAAATTGGCTTGTGTCTTTAATTTGCTTTTGTAATAAAAAACTTTAAAAGCATAAGAATAATTTCAAAAAATAAATTTCGCATATTATAATTTTTATTAATTAAACTGAATCTTTAATTTTGAAAAATGCCTCCTTCAAAACGTAAATTGCAACTAAAAAATGCACTTGAATCACTCACCAAAAAGCATGATCTAAATTTGCATGAAAAACTTGTCAATAAAATAACAAATCATTTAAAAAAAATCATTGTTCAAGAACTTAAAATAATACACAACATGATCTTTAATGCCTCAAATACTATTATATTAGATTCTCCTGCATATAATTCAATAGTTAATACTCTTAAAGACATGTCTGAAGTGGATCTCAAATCAGCATCTCATCTTCTACGTACAATGAGATATTCTCATGAAAAAAATAAAAATCAAATTGTGTCACCCTATATTCAAAAAAAAACATTTCAATATATATCTGATTCCCTTTATAAACCTGGGAGAACGTTAGATGCATGAAATTATCATAACAAACAACTCAGACAAGATCTTCATAAATTACAACAATCTAAAAACTGTATAACTTGTAAAGCTCGAAAACTTAATGGTTCCATTGCACAATTGAAACACAAACATCACCAACATATATCTTGAGTTCGTGCAATAGCCAGACGCCCACCGGGCAATAATATTAAAACTGTGATTAATAATCTTGTTAAAAAAAATAATAATGAATATAATACAGAGTTTATTAAACTTACCACGTGGGTTTCTCAAATCGGTCAAATGTCTCTTACTACTGCAGCAACTAGTATGAAAACCATTTTTAATTTTTTAACGGGGGATAATACATAATCTTGGATTTCTGCAGCAACCATTAGTTATTGGCATCACGAGGTATCAGAGTTGCATGTGAGAAACATATTTCAGCCAACTAATCAATCAATTCATTTTGCATTCAGAATTATGGCAGATCTGGTCAGGATGAAAAAAAATATTAGTAAATTGCTTTATGTTTTGGAATTCAGCAAAGAATATGCCAGATGTTGTTCTTCTAGAGACAA